AAAAATAAATAAATGTTAAAATAAATAAATAAATAAATAAATTCACACAAATTAAATGAAATAAACTTACAAACTTAGTTCCCTGGTAGCCACATTTCAAGGGCTCCATAACATATGTGACTAATGGCTACTGTCTTGACCATAGATATAGGACACTTCTACCATCTTGGAAGGGTATATTGAATAGCACTGGTGCAGGGGAGTATGGGTCAGCACGTGACAGATGTCCTTTTTTTGTTAAATAAAACTTTATTGGAACACAGCCACACCCATTTGTTTGCATACTGTCCATGGCTGATTTTTGTGTTACAGCTGCAGAGTTGGGTTGTAGCAACATTGACCATATGACATGCAAAGCTTGAAATTTTTATTACCCGGCCTTTACAGAAATAGCTGAGTCCTGGTCCAGAGATGAATTTTAGTCCCTGTTAGGGTATTCTAGCTGTATAACCCTAAACAAAAAAAGTCTTTAGCTCTTGGACGTCAGTTTCCCCATCTGTAAAATGGGGAGGGGTGAGTAAGGGAATGGAAACCACAAATGTTTAAATTACTGGGGCGCCTGGGTGGCTCAGTTGGTTAAGCGTCCAACTTTGGCTCAGGTCATGATCTTGCAGTTTGTGAGTTCAAGGTCAGTGTCGGACTCTGTACTGACAGCTCAGAGCCTGGAACCTGCTTCGGATTCTGTGTCTCCCCCTCTCTCCACCCCACCCATGCTTGTTCTCTGTCTCTCTCTTTCAAAAATGAATAAATATTAAAAAAAATGGAAAGAATTACTGATCAGGCATCTGTAAGCTGCCTCCTGCTAGCTCTATGACCCTGTGAAAATCATTTAACCACTGTAGCTTTCAGTTTTTTCACCTAGAAAGGGAGTCTAAAAATCATCCACACGGGAGAACTTTAAGAGCAAATGAGAGGATTGTTGATTATTATGCCATGACCATAGCCAGAGCTGCCCCAGTAAATCAGTGCACGTGGTCACCCCAAAGACAGTGCTCCTGATCTTACAAGGCACTGGACTGCGTCAGTCAGGGGGGTCGGCAGGGGGCGCTGTTCACTCTATGGCTGAAGCCAGAGACTCTATCTGCCCACCTGCTATCAGAACACCCGCGTTGCAGTATGGCTGTCTAAGAACCTTCAGCCCAGCCCCCCTCAAGCCTACCTTGATTGCTCCAGTTGATATCTGGATCTCATGCAGCCTCCTCATGGTGCCATCACGGTCCACAAAGTAGGACGATGCCAGCTGGTGCAGAGCTTCAACACTTTGAGTGGCATTCCCTGACTTCCTGTCGAGGCGACTTTTGTCCATGTACATGGTCAAGGCCTCCTCCCCTGCATGGAAAAGGAAAGAGGTTCAGGGAGGGAGCTTATCAAGCTTTGGGGGTGGGAGGAAAGGCCCCCCCCCAGGGGCCTGGATGCTGAAAAGAGCCTTGGACTTCCCACTAATTTTGCCCAAATTCCCTTCTGCCTCTGAAAATCAAGAGCATAGTGAAGGAGAAACAGTGCAGAGGTGGCTGGAAGCACCCAATTCTATCAGGACAAGGACCATGGAAAGACCCTCAGCTGTTAAGTCCAACCTCTACCAACCCACCACGTACTTCTCACCGGTATCATCTCCTCTTCTCCTCGAGGCTCAGACTCTCCCTCTGTAAAATGATGGGCTTGCCCTGGATGGTCCTTTCCTCCTCCTCACCCAGGTCCTCTAGTACTCACTCCCCTCTCTTTCTTTCCTCCTTCCCTTTCTCTCTTTCTCCTGCTGCTGCCCCTTCCTAGACTGATGGATACATGGACAGATGAACAGACGGATGGCCAAAGAGGTAGACAGACACAGAGAGAGATAAAACATTGTTTAAAGGCAGGGAAAACCGCACACCTAAAAGAGGGAAAAAACAAACTGTCGGATCAGTGAAGTCAGACACCATCGATATTAACCAGCGCCCTATCCCTTGTACAGAAGCCCTGGGCTGGGCTTATAGTAGAGGGTAACCGGGTAATGCACCAGTGTTTTTTTAATTCCATCAATAAATATTCTCATTACCTCCGTAAGCCAGGCACTGCGTTTCTGTCAGTGGAATGGACAGGAGGTTACCTCCGGAGAGGAGGGAAGGCGGCAAGAATGTCAGGCACAGAGAGGGGAATTCGAGAGAAGGAAAGAGAGAGTGGGGGTGGAAAAACAGAGAGCGAGAAATGAATGCACAGACTCATGTATTTTATTCCATTAAGTTTTCCATAGTAACACGTGCATAGATTACTAACAGCACTAACTTCGGGCGCCTTTTATCTTGGATAGTAAGACGTTTCATCAGAACTTCAGAAAAAAGCATCCAGAAACACCTGCTAAACCAATCTGACCATTATATGTCTGGTTTCACCTCCTATGAACGGTGAACTTGGGGATGTTTCTTAACGTCTCTGTTCTCAGCTTACTCATTCACAAAATTAGGGGAGGACTGGCACCTACTCCATAGAGTGATTAAGAAGCATAAATTAGTGAATACTTGTAAGGTCCTTCCAGCAGGGTCTGGTTCGTTGTAGTAAGCAAAGTCGTGTAGAGTGGTCGTAAAAAGCAGTCTCCAGGGGCAAACCTCCCTGGACTGAACTACCTGCACGAGCAGTTACTTACCGTCCTTAGGCTTTAATTCCTCCATGGGCAGAACTGGGGATAGGGTTATCATGGGATTACATTAGCTAACTGCATAAAGTACCTGCACCCTGCCTGGCACACGGTGAGTACCATGGGAGTGTTAATGACCGTTACTTGATTACTGAAAAATAATTTTTTCTTTTTTTTTCATACATTTTCATGCAATTGCATGAAGTTTATCCTGCAATAGGATGGTCAGAGAACAACAGTCTCAATGCTTTCTGAGGACAAAAGTCTGATATCTAAGATAACTGAAATTTCTTGAGGATGCTGATTGCTTTTTGAATTTAAGAGAAACAAACAGGGGCACCTGGGTGGCTCAGTCGGTTAAGCGGCCGACTTCGGCTCAGGTCATAATTTCTCGGTCCGTGGGTTCGAGCCCCGCGTCGGGCTCTGTGCTGACCGCTCAGAGCCTGGAGCCTGTTTCAGATTCTGTGTCTCCCTCTCTCTGACCCTCCCCCATTCATGCTTTGTCTCTCTGTCTCAAAAATAAATAAACATTAAAAAAAAAAAAAGAAACAAAGTTGCTTTCAGGACAGTGATTATCCTAGGAAGGGCACACAGTACTGACCCACAGATTAATTCCTGTGCCTCAGATCCCTCCATGACTGCTTCTAGAACTGAGTTCCATTGCTGTCCACGGTTCTCCACATGCACCCTCCAGTCTGTTCACCGCTGTCTCCCTCTATGAGCACCCGTCAAACCATTCCCTCCGTCTCCATGATTTATTGCTGCCGATTTCCTCTCCTCAAATGCTTCTCTCTGCTTAGAATGCCATTCTGTCCCTCCCCTATCTGACCGTTGAAATCCTATCCAGCTTTTGTCACTTTCTCTTACCCCTCCCTCCTGCAGGGGTAAGAGACCTGGAATACTCCTATACATTCCTCAGAACCCACTGGGGCATCACCTTTCTGGTGACCTTCTCCCACTACACCCTGACCCCAAGGGAGATGTCATCACATCACCTTCCCTCTTTCACTCTCTATCATGTCCATTCAGTTTAGCTCAGCACGCATGCATTGAGCAGTTTGGTAGGCACTGGGGTGACAAATAAATAAGACATTGTCCTCGTTCTAGAGTCACTGAGTGACTACAAGTATGCTGTCCAATACAAGAGCCACCAGACCAGGGTGGCTTTTGGGCCCTTGAAATGTGGCTAGTCCAAACTGAGATGCACCATAGGTGTGAACTCCACGGTAGATTTCCAAAATCTTAAAATGTAAGAAAACGATATAAAATACATCATGAATTGCTTATCCCATTGATTACACGTGGAAATGACAATATTTGGGATATGCCACGTTAAATAAAATATATTGTTAACATGATTTCTCCCCTTTCTCTTTTTACTTTTAAAGAAGTGGTTGTGAGAAAAATCTAAAATGGCTTATGTGGCTCACACTTCTATTTCTAATTGGTCAATGCTGGTGCAGGGAGACAGAGACATAAGGGGACCATTTCAATATACCAGACGGACAGCAAGGTAGAGGGATACAGACAGTGGAATGCAGCCTGGAAGAAGGGTGCCTGCCTCCCTGTTGGGAATGTGGAATGACCCTCTGGTCTCTCCAGCTGCCTCCTTGCCACTCTCTAGGGATGCTCTATCCTGCACAAATGCGCCTTGTTCTCTCATTGTTGGGACTTTTCTTTTCTGTTCTTTTTTTTCCTCCTGCCTAACTTCTACTCATCCCTCAGATGTCACCTACGGCAACACCTCCTCTGGGAAGCCTTCCCCGAATCCCCCACTCTTTACTTAAACGAGATCAAGAACTCTAACCACGTGCTCCCTGTCTTTTTTGTTTCTTTTTTATTTTATTTTATTTTATTTTATTTTATTTTATTTTATTTTATTTATATCACCTAACACATTTCCTGGTGATCGCTTGCTTAATAGCCTATCTCCTTCGTTAGAAGAGAATCACTGTGAGGTCAGGGAGTCTGTAAGAGGCTGCCATCATTTCACTGTCATTGTCCAGCACAACGTGGACCAGTATTACGTGCTTAGCAAAGATCAGAGTGCTTGTGGCTGAATAAATATATATGGAAGTGATCTGATTCTACAGTATTTATTGTGCGATGTCTCTGCCTCAACTACTAGACTGAAATCTCCCCATGAGAAGACTCATCATTATCAAAATTAACCTCTGGGTTCCACAAGCCTAAACGTGAGTTCAGAGTAAGACACTCACGTTTGCACCTTCCCATGAAGGCTCGCGGGTTGTGCAGGAGGACATGATCTTCTGTCCTTTGGACTCCACAGCGACCTGGATAGATCTGACATAAAAATGACCTTATATACAATTAGACAATGAATTCGAGGACGGTGGGTGGTGGCCTGGTGGAACGAGGACTCTATGGATTCTTTTGTAATGTTCCCAACAAAGAACAGGTGTCCGGGTATCCTGGGAGGGGTAAGTGGATGGATGAATGGATGGGTGGATAGGTGATTGAATGGATTGATGAACAGATAGGCGGGCAGAGAGGTAAATGATTAAATACGTGAATATGCTGGAAGTTAGAGCACATTTACAGGAATAAATATTCCAAGCGCAGGCTCTCCAAGGAGCCCGCGCAAGAGAAGGTAGAACGGGCCCAGCTCCCTTTGGACTGAAAACTGGCAGAAGCAGGCCTTAGATCAAGAGGGGTTAATGGGCTTCTTGCTGCATTATTAAGACTTAATTTCTTGTTTATTAAGAGAATGCTCTGTTTGGAGTTGCTTTCCCATTTGGGCATTCCTGCAAATTGCCTCTTCACCCCACACAGGCCTTTCCTCTGTGTCTCTGGCCTCCAGGGGATCTGCCTCACTCTGTCTGTACCGCAGCTTTCGGAGGGGAACACAGTGAGACTCAGCCGCGCAGTGGACGGGGAGGGGGCGGGAGCCGATCCTTTCACCTTTCGAGTATATGGGGGATACCATTCTTCACTGGGGGAGGAAGATGTCTGGATTTGGGACCCTCTGGGGCATCTCTCATCCTTTCCTGCTGAGTCCCTGTGACTTTACCCTCAGCCTTTCTCTCAGCCCAGGGAAGCTTTCCGAAAATGCAGGGTGGGGAATAACGAATATACACACAAACATACACACGCATACAAAAACATAAGCCCTCCCGCATAAAAAGACATTCATGGAATCTGCACACATTCACAAACGTGTGCAACCTCACACACACATATGCGTACATTGCACCTATAGGCGTTGAGCCCAGTGTGTCTGCAAGTGTGCACCACACATGCATGGTCGTCTGCGTGTAGATGAACTTGCATCCAAGTCTAGGTGGGGATTTGTGCGTATCTGTCGATGGGGAGGCATGCACCCTCATTCACGCCAATTTAATCACACGTATCACTCAGGCTCCCAGGGGTTTCCTCTGGTCCAAAACATGATCTTCAGAGGGGCTATGGGAAAATGCTATCCTACCCCTGTATCCCCATGGGTCATTCCAGACCAATTTTCCCCCTTACCACCTTCCATGAGGAAATCACTCACACCAAGTACTTTATGAGATGAATCAAGTTCACCAACAACCTGAGGAGCCCATGGAAGTGCCATGTGTCAGCCCTCCCACTGGCTGCACTTCCTCTTTCTCACTGCCTTTCCTTCCCCTTCTTTCTCCCTCAGGAGCCAAATAAATGCATTTACTTGTCCTACATGTGACAGTTTAAGAATCATCTTTTGTTGTCTGAGTATGCCCTTAGGAGCTCACCTGACACCTCCAACAGCTTATCAGAAGGTTTCTTCTAAATGAACACGGTGTTCTTAGGAAAAATTACAGAGAATAACATTTTCTGCACCTTCTTGTATTTAGGCAGGAAAACTGATATCCAGACAGGAAAGCGAATTTCTCAAGGTCTCCTATTCACCTGGTGAGTAGTAGGAATGGGCTCGAATCCCAAATCCCCCAGCTCCTTAGCCCCACTACATTACAATAATTATAGTGAGAATAATGAAACAACACCGACAATAGCAACAACCTGTTTGTCCAAACACCGTGCTCAGCACTATTAACGCACCATTTTATCTCATTGTCACAACGCGCACGAAGAAAACAGTCTAAGTTGTTTCTCTTTCTAAGAGAGGAAACCGAGGCTTGGAGCAGGTGACGCCAAACTGGCGTGGAACCAAGGCACGCAAACTCCAGAAGCTGCCCCTCCATTCACTACAACTTACCCCTTCCCTTTCTCTCCCCTTGCACGGGGAGGCTCTCAAGAAACAATTTTCCACGATCGAGTAAACGAAGTGATGATGTTACCAGGGACCTCATGCAGTATCTGGCACACTGTGTTCAACCGACAGTAAATCTTTTCCCCTTCCCGCTCCCCGCTCCTCCGCGGTGAGGACCGAGGGCACAGTTAGGGCCCGCTGTCCAACGCTAGAACTCAATCCAAAGCTTTGCATATTTTAAAATGTTGTGCTGTAAAAACAGAAGAGGGACAAGGCTCCGTGAATAATTCACGACTCCGCCTTGGAGAAATTAAAAATATATTTCACAGCAAAAGAAACGTCTTTGTTATTGGGGATTTCCAGGGACTCGGACAGAACACAGCTTCTAATTAAAGAACAGAATAGGTTGAAATATATATATTTATTCAAGTAAAATGGGAGGTGGAGAAATTCAAGGCAAAGGGGTGTAGCTTAATGAAACACTCAGTGTAGAAGTGATTTCGCTCTCACTTCACAATAAAATACAATTTATACTACATGATTTAACATTCAAAGTCCTACTTAGTATTTGAGTAGCATCAACGGATCCATGCTGGTTGGTAGGTTTTGGAGTGGGTGGATTGGGGAGGTGAATGAGTTGGTTAAAGAGGGGGTCTGGATTGGACTCAACTGATGTTGAGTCAATATATATATATATATATATGTATACACACACATACACACACACACACACACACACACACACGCAGGCTTTGTGGACAGAAAGCCCAAAGTTAAAAACGTAGGGTAAACTGTGAACTGTGTTTTGTTTTGTTTTTAGTTTAAATAAACAGAAAACACAAACAAATGAACAAACAAAAAACCCTTAGCGTGTCACTTACTAGCCACATCCCTTCTGCCTCTTAGCTTCCTTATGTAGAAAATGGAGCTCATTGGACTTAGCTTGCAGATTTGGGGGACTAATGGCGATGTACGGTGCCTACTATGGGCAGATAATACACAATGGCTCCTCTCACTGTAAGGATGAATGAAGTTGCCCAACCTCCCCTCACACCCCCGTGATCACCAAGTTCCTAATCTGGGCTTCCTCACAATGCATACTGTGCGCTCGGCCTAGAAAGCACCTGCCACCTCCCCTGTGCCTCGCCAGCTCCTGCCAGCTACACGGCTCCTTCTCCCATGGAGTCTGTCCCCGCCACTTCAGCTCCTGGTGCTCCCCCTTCCTCCGAAGGAGAAGATCGAATGTTCTAATTATACCTCAGTCCACCTACCCCACCTCCATCAACACACCATTCATGTTTAGCGGGCAAGGGTCACATCTAAAGGCAACCTCTCAGCTCCCTGAGCAGGAGGCATGGCGTTCCCCCACCAAAGAGGCTTTCTCAAAATTTAGTGGCCCTCGTCATTATGGCAGAAAACTGATGTGCGAGGAGATTTAGCTCATAATATAAAATGATGCACGTGGGCAAGAACCATAAGCATCAAAATACACTAGTCTCTACCTATCCCCCTCTTTAAAAAAATGTATTTCCTCTGTTCTCTCCTCCTCTCTTAAGGGTTGGACTTGATGGGGATGGAGAGGTAAGGCAAAGCCGCGTGAAGCAATTGGTCAGCTTTCCTATTAACCTCCTCCAAGCCCATAAAACGTACAAATAATACCCTATTTGTAAAATGATAACCTCAAGTTATCAGTCCCTAAAGCAGACTTACATAAACAAAGGCAACTCTCTAAACAACACCTGAAGCTTAATTATTTCCCCAGATTAGACCACGTTCCAAAGGAACTAATACCACAGTCAGATTAAGCATCCCTGAAGAATAGAGCTAATTCCAAGGTGAAGCCACAAAAGTTAGTATTTCTACAAAAGTTAGTAAACTCAAGTCTGACTGTCCCGGGGAATGGAACCCAGGGTTCTGAAATGATCAGAGCAACCAAGTCAATTTGGCTTATATGCTTTTGAGTGACGTACAGCGGCAGAGATGTTAGCGTGGCTTGGGTCCCAGGGCATCCCAACCTCCCCTCCAATCCAGACCCCCAAGGCACGAACAAAGCCATGGCCCAGGAGCTGCCAACCTACCTCCCAAGGTGGCAGAGATGAGGAGGTGGGTGCCGTACTTTTTGATGATGGTATCGATGAACTGCTGAGTGGTGGGTCTTCTGCCAAGCAGGCGGATGCTTCTTTGAAACTCTGGCATGAGGGGCACTGGATGACGGACCAGGTCTCTCCTCTCGATGGCTGTGTTCCTCACCTTCCAACGGGCAAACTCCCTGGGCAAGAGAGATGAGCAAGAAGCCTCAATTTACCGCCTCTGCCCCCCAAGGCAAAGTCCACCCAACCATCCCATGCAGGCATCTCTCCTTGGGTGAGAGAGTGACGGCAATTATTTTTAATATTTGTCAAATCATACTTATATCGGGAGCCCTCGATTCTCTTCAGCCAACAAATATTTACTGAGCACTGTTCTCACCACCAGAATACTGTAGTAGGCCAGACAGACAAGGCCGCGTTCTCATGTTGCTTACAGAGCATCAGGATACAAGAATCATTGTTGCCTAGCTGCTTCTCCAACTTTCTTGCTAGACTGTGAACCATACCACAGAGATGGAACTTTCTTAGGTACATGGTGCCTGTTGCATGGTAGGATTCCTAAGAATGCCGGCCATCTGAATAAACAAATGAGTCGATGGAGGGAAGGCAGGGAGGAAGAGAGGGAGGAAAGATCTAGAGGGGCAAGATCTAGAGCACAAGGCAACTTGAGACCTGCTCTAAGATGGTTCCAGAATCCAATAATCAGCCCAGATTTCAGTTTGATTCACGCTTTTCACATGCATTCAGGGAGCAGGTACTGTTTGCAAGAAATAAAGCTGTATTTCGAAGACCATGTGGGAGAATTTCCACTCTTCCCTTCACTAATGATGAGGAGATCAACACTGAAGAGGCTTCTACCCAGGAGTCTCGCTCAGGATCTCACTCTGCCTCTTGCAGACTACGTGGTGTCATCTTGGACCAAGTGTCATCTTGGACCACCTCTCTGTACTTGCACTTTCTTATCTATAAAATCCAATTAACATTATCTACTTCTTATTGCTGGCGCACAGATTACACGAAACAGCGGGTGTGAAAAATACCTTTGGAAACTGCCAGGTACTAATCCAATGTGGAAGACAGTTTTAGAACTATATTTTCTCACAAATCCCCAGACATGAAAATCGTTAAAGGTTCACGGACGGGGAACAAGAAGCATGCAAACGGAATACAAGTAGAAAGTTGAAGGGCCTTGGTTCAGGTTGGTTTTGCTTCAATAATGATCTCTGTTCCTCCCAAAGATGAAGCTCCTTCTGGAACCACCAGGTCTTCCTGAATTACAAGCTCCTAGACCCTTGAGAAAAACAGACCAGCCAAGAGGATGGTAAGGTCAGCCTGGATAAATGATGGGAACCAGAGTTTAATGAAAAGGTCTCTCTTTCCTGCCACAAGATGGGAGAGATGAATGAAGGAAGGGGTACGAAGCAAGGAGAAGCCGAACGGGGGCGGGGGGGATCACCCCAGAATACACCCTTGTAATTCAGCGGTGGAGTCTGACCCCTGAAGCAGAGGAATGTGGGTCTGAAAAAAAATGCTTTCAAGTTGGAATACATTTCCAAACTTCAGAGCTTACGGTTCACGCCTGCTTACAGAATCTCTGCTCACAATTCGTGACACCGTTCAAATTCTAAATAAAGTCAGCTCAAAGTACTTATTAAGTTAATCAGCTGCACTCAGTGAACCCTCGCAGGGCACCTACTAAGTGAAAAGTATGATGTCTCCAGGAGGGGGATCGACACACCACAGTCCCATGTCCTTAAGAAGCTCACAGTCAGGCAGGGAAGATGAGCACTTTCCAGTTTGTTGTAAATCAAGAACTACAAGACACAGAAGAGGACAGATTTCTCAGGTCTCTAGGGAAGCTTCGGAGAGGAGGTCATATCTGAAGCATAGTTTCAAAGTCCACATGGGCTTAGATAGGCGGAAATGTGGTTAAGAGCAACTGTCCTGGGGCACCTGGGTGGCTCAGTCGGTTGGGCGTCCGACTTCAGCTCAGGTCATGATCTCGCGGTCTGTGAGTTCGAGCCCCGCGTCGGGCTCGTGCTGACAGCTCGGAGCCTG